AAAGTACTTCCACCAGCTGAAGCAGAGGAGATGCCAGGGAAGGAGAGGTGGTGTTTCAAGGCGTGGAGGCCATGAGCAGCTAGCCGTTGGTTAGCTTCGCCTTTAAGGGATGACAGGTCACGCAGCACAAGCAAGAAGTGCTCAACGCGGGGTAGATTTCGAGCAGTGATGGCAGCAGCACAGGGATTGAGCAGATGTTCAGCCCACCTGCCTTCTTTGTTACCATCTTTACAGTTATTTGTATCAGCTTTCTTGGTTGCCTTTTTACTCCCAGTTGATTCTCTGGATAGCTCCCCATGTTTGGCAATTTCAAACCCGTCATCAGCGTTATTGATCTGGCGGCTGTGGTTCTTCCGGGAGCTTTGTGATGATATATTACTCGAATCATCTGGTATTTTTCGTTTCTTTGGTAAATCAGAAGGTAGTTGTTGATCAGAAATTAGTAAGTCAGCTGGGGTAGTGGTAGCAGGTATGGTGCTGTCAATGAATTCGTGTTCTAGACTTGCACAGTGCAGCCACCACGAATAGCCACCAAAATCCCCGGCATCAAATGGATCATCAGAAAACGTAGATAAGTACGACGATCCATCTATCCATCCTAAGATGTTTTCAGAATCGTCATTTGGCTCAATTGTCATGGTTTGGAATATTGTCGTCGGAGCTGGGCAAGTTCGGGAAGTATATTAGAGCATTTGATAAGTGATCAGAAGAGGCCATTTATGGGTATAACATGGCTATATTAAAAAATGAATAGGGCTTTGGTCTATTTGGGAAGATAATTTAAGGCACATTCAAAGATTTGGGTTGCTGTCATTTTGGATTTTATCAATGTTTTCTAATCTCATTGAAACTCGTTTTCATTGTTTTCAGTAACATACTATTGTTTAAGTCAGTTGTTGAGACGTACAGAGAAAGGTTGATAGGGAAATAACATGAAATTCTAGTGGATAATGAGCCTGGGTTTGAATCTTTAACAGACTGCTAACAACTCTTCGAACATT